CAGTGCACTGCTGACCTCTTTTCAATAGGGGCCAGATTAGCGTGCAGCGGTGCTGTGTGGCTCATTGCTGCGGTGGTGGAGCGTTTTTATCCCCGGTGGTAATCCGCTCGTTCTCAATGCCCAAACCCTGGTATACGGTTTCAAAACAAGGCTGGATTATCACCACTTTTGAGAGTGAAAAATTTTGGTAATGCCCAGCAGTCTGGTCTTTTGTTCGGAGTATGGTCTTTTGTTACAGGGCCCTGTTTCCTTTATCCGAGTTCGGAGACCCCTGCCAAGCATATAAACCATACTTCTCCAATTCTGGAGTCCCCGGCAGGAAGTGGTTAATGTTAGAAGTTGGTTTTAAAGCTTGGCTCCATCCTGCTTTGACTTCAGGGACTTTTAAGATGTTACTTGTAGGGACTCTGGCTCAATATGAGTTTTGTACTTGTTTCAGGAAAATCAAATCCTATAATACGATGCCAAATATTGGTGCATTTGGGTCTTGATTGTCATGGCTTCCATATAACTCTTGAGCTAGAGCTGAGGCCAAATTTGTCCCAAGCTGAAGTGTCAGTATGGCCCAAGCTGTTTGCAGGTCACATCCATCCATTTGTGAATAGACGTGAAAATTTTCAACCTGAGATTTGAGGGATTCGGGCATGTCCCGCACGTTGATGCCCATGACTGTCTTCTCGATCCCATCATAGAAGAGCACCCGGTAGGAGCCGTTGGTCTTGATCCCTAGGATCTTGGCAGGGTAATAGCGACAGTCTGACCACCGCGCCAGAACTTCGTCCCCAACCCTATAGCCCTGTGGAATATTGTGAGAAAATGTGAGTGGTTTTGAACATTCAGATTTTATGACAGAATATTTTGGCTGTCTTGGTAATGATGGCCTTAAGACAAGATGTGCTTTTATGGTCTTGTTCTCAGAATTACTGAAATTGTAAAACACTCGGGAAAATTTCTTTATAAAAAGCACTTCCAAACAGATTATTAAATCTCTTCATATACTTTCCTAACACAGTAAACAGCTGATATTAATTGTGTAAATGCATAAAAATGACCCGAGTTAAAAGGTCAAAAAAAAAAAAACAGTAAAGTAACTAGAATTTCAATCTTTACCCACCTAACACCTTGAAGATGCAAATTTGGAAACTTAAGTGGGTTGCAGTTACAAACACAACTTGCAGTCAAGAGGAAGGTACAACTGTTCCTAATGTAGCATTACTGCGGGAAATAGAACTCTTCCCCACTTACAAATGCTCCTTTCATTTCACAGGCCCTAGAACAACCTGCTTCTAGCTAGTCTTTATGAGCCTTGAGCTGGACCAAGAGAGGGCGCAATTTTCTCAGCAACAGAGGCTCCTTTGGTTGGAACTAAACTTCACTGGTTCACGAATGATGATAAAATGCACGTTACGGTTGCAAAACTACCAACAAAATGAACACTACCGACCAATATGGCTCTTTTCAACTGATAAGGGGGTGCTTCTGCTTAAGGTGGCTATTCATCCAGCACTTCTCCTATCATGGCAATTTTTCTTTTATATTTAAGACCAATTCCGGATATTTACATGTACGTAGAAAAGACCTTACCCCTAGTGCTTTGACTTCTTTGGCTGTCTCTCGACGGGCCGAGACCCTGGCCAGAGGCCGCAGCCGATCACTGTCAAACTCCAGCCACTCGTCAAATCGGGAGTTCCAGCCGGCAAAGTGGATCAGGACCGTGTTGTCAGTCTCGTCCACGTTCACAATCCTGGCCAAGTACCTATTGGTGCACAAGTCAACTACTGCCGCATCATCACATGTAGGGGACAGGAGCAGGGGCATTCTCCTGGACTCACTTCTTATTTTCTTTCAATGGATAAGAATCCAATCCGGACCAACACGTGTATAAGATCCAGTATCACTATGCACCCTACCTTGGACTCTGCCGTCTCACACATGTGATGGATCTGAAGCTTTGCATAAGGTAAGACTAAAGCAGAATAACAGTTTGGGATACAACCATGGGGCATATCTCTTCTTGGAGGAGTGGTTCTAGAGAGAACCAATGGCAAGAATATTTTCTCGACACTTTGAACAGTGTGATTGGACAGGAGTGCTGAAGATGAACAGCAAGTCCCATACATGTACCTCTTTTGCTGAAGGCAAACACTGTTCTCCGTCGGTTCTTTCAAGAACCATATTTCTTTCAAGGCAAAGATTTTTCCCAAATGGTTGTACCTAAAAGTATTATCTACCTTTGTCAAGTGACTTTCTGTTTCAGAAGAACATCATTTGATCAACCCTAACTCCTTGACCATACTTGCTTGAAACTTTCCTGAATCCTCCAAATTCTGCCACTCTGCAGGAAACTGACAACATTCCTTGCACTGAAACCTTAAAGTGGGCATCTAACCCCAATGAAATAATGGCAGAACTCTACAACTACAAATGTACATGTACCTTCCTCGGCAAAATAAAAAATGGCCCAAGTAAACTTTGAGGATGCTTCAAAATCTTACCACTTTTTGGAGTAGTCCATTGCCTCCAGCTTCATCCCCGGCTGCAGGACAATCCCGTGCTTGGAGACACGGTACTTCTTGGCCTGGGAAGTTGGGCTTTCTTCGCTCTTGGATCTTTCCCTCAACTTGGCTTTACCATCTCCTTTCGTCTCTGGTTTCATTCGGGGCTGATCCGCCGCATGTTTTGCCCTCAGAAGCTCCCGTCTTTTCTCCAGTTTTCTGTCGTGGTCACCATTTCCCTTGTGTCTCGTCAAATCAGAGACTTTAGCTCTCTCCAAACCTGAGCTTTTGGTGTCACCTTCTTCCTTGGAATGTTTCGTTCCAGTATTTGCATTTTCGTTTGATGGCTGCTTTGTTGATGGGCTCTTCTGTTCCTCTGATGTTCCATCCCCTGAACTGGTGTCGGAGGTGGGATTGGGCTTGGAAGTGGACTCCCTGGTCCTGGCCTTACTTGCAGATTTTTCTTTCTCTGCAACCACTGGTTTGCTTTCCTGGCTTTGTGATTCTACAGTTGGCTGAGAGGCCACTTTAGGCCTGCTCGGTTTCCCTGAAATTTCCTCTTCAGTGGATTCTTTGGCAGTCAGCTCAATGTCAATGATAGTTGACGAGGAGTCGGAGCTGAAATTGTCAATATCCCTTGAATTATCACGTTCATCTTCAAACATGTCCGCATCAAATTTTTGATTATCTGTAGCATCTATTTTTGGGCTTTTTGTCAGGTATTGATTAGAAATTTGCTGACTGCCTGAACTCTTCTCCGTGCCAGAGCTAGAACTTTGACCTTTTTGTTTCTCTGTCACATTGATAACCTTTTCATTGTCTCTCTGGCGAAGGTGAAAGGTCTCACTCGAAGGTCCTGGAGCAGCACCACCAACCTGCTTTATGAAATTTCCAAATGGTTTTATTACTTTTCTTGGACGTGGAGCTTCAACATTCAACTTCCCTATGCTGGCTTTGAACGCATCCTCAAAGGTCTTCAACTTCTGTGGTTTGGCAAGACCCTTTACTTCAACCTCCAACGTCTTTTCTGCTGACTGAGCATCAGTTGGAGCCATCTGAGCAGATATCTCCTTTCTGCTGTCTGATTTGGGTATCACAACAACACCAGAGCCGGAAATGCGGGCTTCTGCTATTTTCTCATCACCACTGCCCTCCAAAGTTTCCTTATAACTAGGTCCAGATGTATGCTCCTCAGAAGTGTCTTTCTTCTCACTTTGAGAAACTTGATCCTTTTCAAGCTTATTGTTTCCAACTGATGTTCCCTGGTTCTGTTCCGGTATCCCGCTATCCAGTTTCTCAACTGGGGCACTTTCAAGTGACTTTCCAGCAGGACTGCTCGCCTGCTTCTCAAGCTCTTGTTTAGGAGGTAGTGGAGACTCTGAGTGCTTCTCTGTCGAATCTGCCCCAGAGTTCCGCCTATCTCCACCTTCTTTCGGAGAGCTCTCTTTGGGAGTTTGTGCGAGTTTGTCAGCTGTTGGGCTGGTTGTTGATCTACTGTCTTCAACTTCTTCATCGGAGGTTCCTTCCACATCTATCTCCTCTGTCGTTTTTTCTGACACTGGCGCCTTTTGTTCATCCTCCTTGTTTGCAGAAGGCCTCAACATACCACTGGCGCCAAGTACTCCTGATTCATCGGCCATATTGTTGCCTCGTGCTTTTCTTTTTCCACTGCTCCTCCTAGTTTTGGCCCTGATAAGGTTATAAAAATGTCATTTAAGGGAATTTATTTAACTTACTTCCAAATATCCCATCTGCATCATACACTTGGTTCCACATGCAACGGTTCACATCCTCAGACAAAAAGGTACATACATGTACCTATCGACTTTATTGAATATATCACTAGGTATACAGCACTCTCATTTTGCCAACAACTTGTATGAGCGGCCAGAGTTTTCAGAAATATGACCTTTGGGTGCTTTTCCATTTTTACCCCCAATTCGTTCAAAATGGACATTTGTCCCATTGACCTTCCTGTTGCTATAACACTCACAGACAGTCAAACATCCCTTCCACTTCTCCCTCTGCACAACACAGACATAGTACATAGTATCATGTGTCACTTGACTACGGTGTACTCCATCCACTGTTTTTTCCTGCAGATTTGAGGATCAGTCTTGTCAAAGATTGTATCCAATGTACATTTACGTTGTAGTGACATTTTGATGAGTTCATGTCCCAAAATTGTTTGAAAGCTTGTAAAAAATTAATGTGTTTTTCTATTGTTGTAAATTCATTTGTACTGACTTTTCTAAGTTTTATCAGGGCCCTTGATAATAGCGTTTTTTAACAGACAAGGTTACCCTGTCAAAGTACAAGAGGATAAACCCATGTATATTGTACATACAACACTTAAAACCAGTGTGATGATGCGCGACACAATAACTTTGCATGCCCACGCCAGTTGTCATGAAAACCTCTATTGGGGAAAGGGAAAATGTACTAACCTTATTTCAAGCCATAAATCCACAAGTGTACAGTGGAGATTGTTAGTCACTACAATGTACTTCCGCTCACACAGGAACGGCTGTAATGAGTCCCACTGATACATGTATGAATATCAATGTTGCATTGGCAGCCAATCACAGCACAGTGAACGGATGGTAGTCTGGTTCCCTGCCCAAAGATTCCCCGACAGCTCTTGATAAAAAATCTTAGGTCAGGCATCACCCATGGATATAAATAGATATGATGCAAGGGTCAGGGGTTATATTCTGCATTTTGCCTGACATTGATTTCACCTTCAATTTCAGTGAAAAGTCAAAAATTGTAGGATCAACAGCTGCCATTAGGATACAGGAGTTTACGTTCAACAGCAAGCTTACCTACCCAGCTAAGAATAACCGAACATCTAAAGTACCATCAGAACATGCCAAAAATAGATGAGACAACTTCAGAATATTTCGGCTATTTCCGGAAAACTGAAGGCATTCCTTCAGTCTTGATTACGTGGACATCCGGTAATACCAGACCCCTGATTCGGAGAGTAGTTGGAATCATTGGGTCTGGTATCCAGACTAGGTCCCAGAATGCTGTTTACACACAAGGCTTGTGATTTGAGCTGCAGATACGCATCATTGTATGCACGTACTGTACACATGCCTGTACATGTACAGTAGATATCAGTTGCGTGAACTACAGAGCTCCAGTACTATTTCGTGTCCGAACGAGGACGTGCAAAGTTTGGCCTGGCTGTCATGTTGTGTCGACAGAAAAAGAAAAAACTGGAGAAAAAGGAGGAAAAACCGGCCTGTCGATGGCCCAAAAATGGAAAATGAAATTCAGCATACTCAACAAAAAAGCAGAGATTTCACACCCCTGAAATAAGCATGAGGGTTGGCAATAGTACTTTTGATTTTTATTTCTTCTTTAATGAAAAGATATAGGCGTCAGCACGATCTGCTAGGTTGGGGCGGGTAAGCAGAAGCACAGCTATTATTTTGTTTGGCCTTACCTAGAGTAGTACTGAGTTTGTGTCTAAAAGTGAAATTAACTTATGAGGCCATTTGTAAATAACCTGATCTTGAACTCATGCCACCATACCAGTCACATATACTGTATCACTCATGCCACCATACCAGTCACATATACTGTATCACTCATGCCACCATACCAGTCACATATACTGTATCACTTTACATGGCCCTTAGAATATTTCCTACACAATGTGCACATTCTTTTTCTGTTTTTGTTTCAGAAAGAGTTCTACACATGGGCATCACTTGACACCTGGTGCACAAACCCTATTGAGACTGGTCTGAAAAGTTATGGGTATTTTCTATGTAAACAAGTCGTCCGTTGTGAGAAGTTGTCTGCTCAGCCAAGTTATGTGTTGTAACGTGTGAAATGCGGCAAATTCATCCTGTTTAAAACTAACACTATGGGCTTCATAGTAGGCCTTTGACAATTTGTACATTATGAAAACCACGCTGGCATCAGGAAATTGGGCAAATGTAGGACCGAGTGGGGCAGTTCCAGGGAGGGGATGATGCCGTGCCGCAGTGCCATCTGTTAACTAGGCCACCCCATGCTAGGTCTGAGTAGAGTTGCAATGTCACGTGACGCACACAAGGACCAAATACATCTTTAGGCCATAACTTGCACTGGCACTGACCAGCTCGCAAATGTATTTGAATACAGCGTAATGTAGGTATGTGACAAAAGATTTGAAAATTATTTTATCTACTTGAATTTGGTACCATTGTAAAGAGCATAAAAAGAGCTTTAATATGATGTATAATTCCACTTTCTCGGTCAAATATCAAGTGATACATTTATTAAAAAATGGGAATTCGGAATAAAAAATTGGCCTGTAAAAATAAAGAAAAGCGTCAGAAAATCTGTGACCTTTTTCAGCCAAAACAATTAGCAAACATGACTTTTTCAGCATATTTCAACTGCCACGATTCTTGTGGTAGCAAGCATCAAACATCAACAACTGGCGCCAACGCACTGGATGACCACTTTTTGCAGATCACAGTTTAAAGTATGTGAGTCTTCAAATTTCCTTCAAATTTCAAGTATTAGAGAAAAATATATAAACTAAATGTTCCATGTGTTTTTAAGAGTGTTTTTTGTTTAGTTCAGGTGAAAATATGTCGATTTGTTGACTGATGATATCGACTGCACAAAATTTCCACTTTGGTACATCACACAAAAAAAAACAACCATATGATGTTGAATGGCAGATTTTCCTGTGCCGAATATAGAAGCATGCTTTTTAAAAAGGCCCCGGATTAAATGGTACCCGGCAGTTAAAAAACACTACTGGTGCATGCATGCAATTGGTACGATGCAACATGTCCGCAATTCACAGTGTCCAAGATCATGCAATGTCACGTACCTGAACCTATGTAATGTAGACAACACACATGATCAGATTGTTGTGTTGTCTCTAGCCAAGCTTGTGTCAAACATGTAAAAGTCGAATTGTCTTAATGGACAACTTGGCATAAAGTCGATTTGTCCCAATGGTAAAGTAGTCTGAGCGGTCAAGTTGTGCCAAGTTAGCAAACACTCATGACAGTCAAGTTGTCTGACATCCACTGAGGGACTGCCCAATTCCCGGACAATTGTGGCTCAAATTGGGAAGAGTTCCATATTATCAACACCAGTGCAGTAACGGTCATTATTCCTTATAGTGACCGTTCCTTATTCCTTATAGTAACGTTAGTCACGTTAGTAGAGCCTATTACTAAATTAGCAGATTAGCCTTCAGAAAGCAAAAACATGTCCAGCAAAGTTCAATTTTGGAGGGAAAAACCAAGTCGTTTACTTAGAAAACACTTCTTACAGGTTTACAGTCTTACAGGTTTATGCATATGCATGTAGCGAAAAGTGGTGTCCGTATACGGAAGTTTCATTGGAACTCTTTCCCTAAAATTTCACGACACTGGATGGAGTGTAGGCCTAGCGTTAGTCTAGCTTTGCTGAGTGGAGTGTTGGTAGTATGACCGATCTTGTCCAAAATTTGAAAAAGAACAATACTAGCCCCAGACTGGGGGCTAGTCTACTGGACTCCTTTCATATCTTAGGCCCAACAGCTGTCCGTTCAAAAAGTGGAGACTAAGTGAAAATGCCTTCTATGAAACCCCTTTACGTGTATGGATAACTCTCCCATCAATACTCTGATGTATTAGTTTGGGTAATTTCCAATTTGTAGAAGTCCGTGAAATTTTGCTTTCGATTTGGGCCATTCGTTTAACCAGACAGTGTTAGAGACAGTGATCCGAACTGCTGCTTTATCAGCAACAGTGTAATGAAGCCTTGTGTGTGTACATGAATGCAATGAATGTGTCGAAAATAACAGCTGTTGGGTATTTTCATGGGTGCATGTCAACATCATGCGGGATGGGGATTGGACAAGTGAATGGTGTGCGCTCCACACATGCCACGCTATGTCTGGCAAGGAGATCACACTCGATCCCGAGCACCATATGCATTTCGGTTCATCATTCATCAACATTCATTGGCAATGTCTAGCTCTGGGGATCTACTGTAGGTACATGTAATAACACTGTTTGGTTCCCAGATCAAACAGATCCTGACCGTGTTTGGCATTGACCAGCAATCGGGAGCTAGTCGCTGTAGTAAATGAATGGCCCAAACATGCCAAATCGAAACCAAAATTTTACAATCTTCCCAAAGTAATGGGCTAGTACTAATAATACTCCAGATGGGGTGATCATGATGGGGTGAGTGACCCATACACGCAAAAGGTGTTTCATAGAAGGCATTTTCGCTGAGTCCCCACTTTTTGACTGGACCGCTGTGGGGCGAGTCTGGCAGTAGACTGGCCCCAGTTTGGGGCTAGAGCAATACTACTAACGCTCCACTCAGTCATGTCAGTAGAGCTAGCATCAGGCCTATTTGCCTAGTTTCCGGACAACTCGCTGGATTCCCCTTTCTCTTAAAAATTCCAGTAAATTCCATTCAAATATATCATTTCAACAATGATACATTACGTACGAGGATACAACATTTTCGAACGAGAGAAAAGGCAATTATGACAGCGAGACAATTATCTGAGACAAAATACAACGCACAGCGTGAAACTGAAACACGTTACGTTACCTCATGTACCTTGAATCTTGTTTCGTAGATTAATGGCGAGGCGTGGAATAACTAAGAAGTACCGGATGATGGCGCTATTCTTAATGTGCAACAATCACAGACATGTCTGTGGCAGATCAGTGGTGGCAACAATGGCATGTCTGTGAGCGGGTTCTACGGAGGCGTATATAGGACATGACTGCAAAAATCGGACCTGCTATTTCGCCCGGGCGGATTAGTATTTCGCCGGTTGAAATAGTAATCCGCACGGGCAAAATAGAAGGAAGAAATTTTTTTTCAGTCATGTCCTTTATACGCTTCAGTAAATTATTCATATGCACTGCATAAACCAATGTCGCATCGCATGAACGCTATCAGCATAGACCACAATGGACCTCCTCACAAATCTCAAAGGACTGCCAACTCTGCGGGCGAGCTCGATCTTGCGTCAACCGGAAGTGCCGAAGTTACCTGCATAGACAACTTCCGTTTTGCTATTTTCCGTATGTTATAATAATTGTGCATGCAGCACAATGTGTAATGCAAAATACTCAAATGGCATAAATTTCCAGGTAATTGTGCAGTTGTTGGAAGCAGCGCGTAAAGACACAAATTGGGGGGTTGGGCTTTTATGGTTTACCGAATATCATAACACACTTGTATGCCGTCTATCTCATCCATTCATGCTCATTTTGCTATTTTATCCACGAAAAAACATGAAAATTAAAGAATTCCAAGGCATCAAGGAATAAATTTGTTATGCGTACTCAGCGTGCTCCGCATCAAAACGCGCGCCTCTGCGGTGAGTACATTGATCTAGAGATCAATGGGTGAGTACCACAGACATATAAACGCATAGACCGCTCTTGCGCGTAAAATCGTGATTTTGAAAAGTATGGGCAACAATGAGTGAAGCGACGGATGGCATTACGCGCAACGCACTTACATTGCCTGTTCTTGTTTACGTGTGCTCCCAAAATGTTGCAACTGCATTATTTCTAATCCCTACGGGACAGATAAAGTAAATAGAGGATTTTTTTACATTCCAAAAATGGCTTCATAGCATTTTATTGCGCAAATCACGTAAAATCCCCTGTTATTTTGAATAGGACCTGGCGGTCTCAGGCTGTGCGTTTATGGGTGCATTTTGCTGCAGATTGATAATTCTGCCGAGCTCATTAGCATGATAAGTACCTGACAATTTCTTTTGAAAATGCTGCAAGAGATGCAAATAAAGGCCATGATAGACTCCCTTGTATAGAGGGGTTCCACCTGAGGGCAGAGTTGATAAATTACGACTGAAAACATAAAAAAACCCAGAAAGTAGAGGGACATCATTTGAAAAAAAATGGCTTCGTGCGAACTCTCACTTTTCCGGGGTGAATTTGTTTTGTGTGAAAAAGAATAAAAGTGATAAAAAACAAGGAAAGAAATAAAAGGACTAATGAAATGATGAAAATGTAAATTTTGTTTGACAAAATCCCTGGAAATTCCAGTAATTTATGGTTGCAGGCCAGTAAATAGATAAAAAATTACATACGCGGACCGAGTCACTGTTTGCAGCTGTCAACTTGAAATTATCTGCTATTAGAGCACTGGTTTCGTGGCACGTGGACTGAGTGATTTGTTATGAAGGAGGATGGAATCTAGAAGCAGGACTACCAGCTTGTATTTCTGAAAGCATCGGACCAAACGGGGCCCTCCAAATCGCTCTATTTTGCAATGGACTGTCGACATCACCAAAATGGCAATGGCCCCAGAGGGGTGATTTTCTTTGGAGAGCAATAAATTCAAAAGTCTGGTCCAAGCCACTTTGGCTCAGCAGGCCGGTGTTAATTTCCCGTTTTTTTTGGTTTAAAACGACTGAGAATATTTTTCTATTCCCCCTAGATGGGATGCCAGTCCATCGTAGGTTGCTTCCCAAACTAATGCTGGTACCCATTTATACTCCTGAGTGGAGAGAGGCAAGCAGAGGTAAAGTGGCTTGTCAAGGGACACAACACTACGGTCAGCACCTGGATTCGAACCTCCAACCCAATGATTGGAAGCCACAGACCCTTATCACCGGGCCACATGCCCCCTTTTTTACCCTTTATGGGTGCACCCTGGTAATTA